TCAGGGAGGGGACACACAGGTCCCACTCGGAGGAACTGGCCCAAAGTCAGGCTGAGATCTCTCTGTATTCCTGCAGGAACGAGCAGCACAGCCGGCAGTGGCTGTGCAGGGAGATCTGAGCCTGAGCAGCCCTTTGCAGTTTGTTTTGTTTTCCTTCCAAAGGACGGAATGTCCGAGGATCCTGCAGCTCCCCAGGGTGCTGAGGCCATCCCAGATCCCACCTCAGACCTCTGTGCTGAGCGGAGGGGTCTGGATCTGGTTGGGAGGGAGGAATTTTGGGGTCTATCCCACTGCAAACCCTCCAGGGAGAAAGAGGTGGCTCAGCGAGGGTCGGGGTGATGTGAGGAGCAATATCACCCAATTTATAGGCCAAGCCTTCAAAAAGTGCCCTGAGATCACTCAAATCCCTTCCTAAACTGCATCCAGGCCACCAAAACCCACCTGGAAATGCTGGGACAGGCCGAGCCAGTGCAGCACCACCCCGGTGCTCCCCAGCTCCCTGTTGCACAACGCGGCCTCAGCCCTGTCCAACCCGCTGGCATGGGAGGCAAATTAAGACCAGAACTCAGGAGCAGCAGCTCTTTAAAACACATCCCGCTGCTCAGAGCCCTTCCCAGGGGCCGTGGGACGTGGTTCTCATTCCTCTGCCTGGGCTGGGGTTTATTATTTCCCCCTCTATTGTGCAGAGTCCCCTTTATTCCCTGCATGCCTGTCCCCCCCGGGGGCCGAGGGAAGCAGTGTGGTTTTATTTCTTGTGCTCAGACACGGCTCTTTGCCTGCTCCCAACCACCCTTTTGTCTTTTAAACATGATCTCCAGGCCGAAAATAGACGGCCCCCTTCTCCTCCCAGCCCTGCAGACCAACAGGTGAGTTGTAGGGAGGGACATCACGGCCAGATTCATTCAGGTCACTAATAAACGGGTTTAAAGGTAATTTTTTTTTTCCTCCATGATTCCCGATGTTTCCAGCTGGGTCTACCTGGTATCAACCCCTTTTTCGAGGACGTACTGCCCTGTAGGGCTGTCATCCCACTTTTGGGTGACCCAGGAAGGTTTGGGAGCGCTTGGAAGTGCCACCAGTGTGGAGTGGATGGTCCCAGGTGTCCCTTTGTCCCTGTGCTGACGAGGCATTCCAAGTAAACTCAACCAGGGGATATCCTGGCTGGAATTCTGCAGCCTCGGGCACATCCCTTTGCCTCGGGGGATGGGGGAACATCCCGGCACAGGGAGCTGGGATTCTTGGGCGGGAAATGCCCCGTAAGAGCCAGAAATTCCCGTGCTCTGAGTCAGGCCGGGCTCTCCTTTCCCAGGGTCTGCTCCTTTCCCTCCGATTTAGCGGCTCCAGCCTGGAACGAGCCGTGACAGGCCCTGGCTTTGCGGGCAAATACGTCTTTAGAAACCGGAGGGCTTTATCCCCTGCAATTATTATCACTTGAATGTAGGTCGGCTTGACAGCTTAGGTGGAAAATCATCTTCGGAGCGTTCCAGCAGCTCCACGCTCACTGGCCTGTTAATTCTCATCCCGTTCCCCCCTTTTTTAGGGCGGAAAGTCGGTGTTTCACCAGCAGAAGTGAATTATTAAGGCAGGCGTCTCCTCACCAAGTCACAGGGCGGGGGGCCGGGGGTGGCAGAAGCACCTCCCCAGGAGGGGGGAGATGGGGTGGGAAATGCCGGCAGCTCGCTCGGGATGCTCCCAACTGCCCGGGGCAGGGATTCACTCTCCCTGAAGGATCGGTTCATCCCTGCTCCCCGTCCATCCCGGCTCGTCTGTCCGTCCCTCCCTTCCCGCAGCTCTTTCCCGGCTGCGGGGAAACGCAGGCTCTGCCGCATCCCTGCCGGGAGAGGGACCGTTCCAGTCCTCTCCCTCTCTCTCTCTCAGCCTCCCCGCGGTGTTTTTTCTCCTCCCGAAATCACAACTTCCACCCTTCCCCAAAGCCTCCCCCGCGCCGAGCCCCCTCCCCTGGCTATGAATGAACAGTTGGTGGCCCCGCGATGCCATTTCCATGGTGACAGATGGCAGCGGGAAATGCGGGGATCAGGGTCACATGAGAGCAGCGGTAAATTCAGGAGGTTATTTATAGGCTGCTGCTCCAGCGTTTATGGAAATGCGTCTGCCTTGGCCCGTGGAATGAGACCTTCACCAGCTCTCCGGGGCACTGCTCTTCCAGAAGACACATTACTCATGCTCTGCTTTAATCCAGACTGTTCCTGCTGCTCAGGCTGGGCTTGGAAAAGTACCGGGCAGAGGGTTTGGGGGGGATTTTTATTTTTATTTAGGTTTTTTTTTGGTAAGCCTCAGCCTCTGAATCAGCCTCAGCCGAACGCAGCCGTAACCTTCTCGCATCTGCCCGTGGCACCTCCTGTGCTCAGCCTTGCTGTGGGCCATGACCCGGGATTTTGGGCCTGGAAACATCCCTGGCAGAGCCCAAATCCAACCTGGTTTTCAGCCCAGCCTCTGCTTTTGGCTCTGACACAGCTGGGAATCTTTGCCTCAGTTTACCAAGCAGCTCTTGCCTCGGTTTCCCTCTTCCTGCTTTACGGCCAGTCCAAGGGAGCTCTTCAAATCCACGGGGGAGGGTTTATGACACCTTGAGGTGACCCAGGAGCTGCCCTCTGCCCATCCCCAGCAGGCTCATCCCTGCTCCCTGCTGGGATGTGCAGGAGCAGAGGAACTCAAAGGCTGGGTCAGCCCCTCTTAATAAGGTTCCTTGATTTCTCTTTGCTTAAGATCCCCCCCTTAATCAGGCCTCTGGATCTTCTTTGGGTTTAATCTGGCTGTGCAGGGAGGTTCCTACTGCTGGCACTTCCAGCCCAGAGCTCTGCAGATCCACCCCCTTCCCATCCTTCCCAGTTCGTGCCCATCTCCCCACGGAGACGATGCCTGGATGCAATAAAATTCTGGAAATTAGAAAATTGTGGAATCACAGAGTGGTTTAGTTTGAAAGCGACCTTAAGGATCATCTCCTCCCACCCCTGCCACGGGCAGGGACACCTTCCACCAGCCCAGGTTGCTCCAAGCCCCGTCCAACCTGGCCTTGGACACTTCCAGGGATGATGGGGCAGCCACAGCTTCTCTGGACAACCTGTGCCAGGGCCTGCCCACCCTGTCCCCTGTGTGTCCCCACTGATGTCCTGGATGTCTGTCCTGTCCAAGCCTTCCTTTCCCAGCCTGGGCAACTTCCTTCCCTTCCCTGTGTGCTCCCCCATCAACCCAACCGAGCCATCCCCGGGAATCGCCGTGACCAGACACCGCCTTTAAACCCCAGAAACCACCACGAGGGAGGTCACAAGGAGTGACCAGGAACCGGAGCAGCCCCTTGGACAGGCTTTGATCCAGCTCCCACCCCTTCCAGACTGGTTTTTGCATCATTCCCGAGCTCCCTCAGCCCTGTTGAGATCAGTCCCCCCTCCGGGATGTGCAGGGACACGGCCACAAGCTGAGCACTCACCGGGGATTTTGCAGGGGGTGTGTGTGGATTTTCTCTTTATAAATCACGAGTGTGACGGGTTTATTCCCTTTCCAGGGCCGTGCCGAGCTGGGAGAAGAGCAGGTGTAATGGAGTGTGGCCTCATTCCTCCCCCGGGGGCAGGAGGGAGCGCTCCAGCCGCCGCTGCCGGCGCTGGCCGAGCTCCCAAATACCTGCGAGGATTGATCGTTCCGTGCCTAATAGGCTGGAAAGGGAAACGGCTCCAAAGGCCAGGAATGTGGAGAAACATTGCCATTGCTATCCAGAGGCTGGAATGGCGCTGGAGCTTTGAATCCTCTGGCGTTTGTCTCTTGCAAATGTGGTTTTTCCCTCCTGTCAGGGTTTTTTGGCTCTGGATATTGGTAACAGTATCCCCAGCACCAGAGACGTCCAGGCTTCACTGCTGGGGGTTGGATGAGCTGAATTCGGGTTTTTAGGACCAGGAGACTTTAATAATTTCCAGCCAGCAATGAACTCCTTTAATAAATTTACAAACATTTCTGCAAGGACAACAGAAGCACCTTTGCAATCCAAGTGAAACACTTTTCACAGCAATTTGGATCCAAACCAAAAGGACAATTCCTTACCTATATTATCACAAACGCTTTACTTCTTACTTTTCAAATTGTTACTCCCTGTTTTCCCTGCAGTGAACCAGCTGTGGTTTTCCTGATTAACCCGGTGAGGGATTTTTTTTGAGGGGAGGTTTTGGAGGGTTTTCTGACGTTGGGCTCTGCTCCCCATGCCAAAACATCAAAGCTGCCTCAGGGGCTGTGAGAAATCCGGCCCCAAAGGCTGGATTTGGGATCTGCTGGATCCCAAATTTAATCATCTGCATTAAAGGTGGGTTAAAGGTGCGTTAAGGTGGAGACCTCACAGCACCTTCCAGGACCTGAAGGGGCCTACCAGGAAACCAGAGAAGGACTATCCATCAGGAACTGGAGTGGCAGAGCAAGGAGGAATGGCCTCACACTGAAAAAGGGGGAATTTAGGTGGGATATTGGGAAGAAATCCTTCCCTGTGAGGTTGGGCAGGCCCTGGCACAGGTTGCCCAGAGAAGCTGTGGCTGCCCCATCCCTGCAAGTGTCCAAGGCCAGGTTGGATGGGGCTTGGAGCAACCTGGGACAGTGGAAGGTGTCCCTGCCCATGGCAGGGCGCTGGGACTGGATCTCTAAGGTCCCTTCCAAACCAAACCATTCCAGGACAACAGAGGAAAGTGGTGACCCCTCCCCCCAGACACTCCCCTTCCCCCGGGGGGCTTCCCTGGGGCCGCTCTTTTGGGCCATTTCGGTGGGTTTTACTTTCTCCCGCAGCCAAGCCGAGCCCACCCCTCGTGCCGGGACTCGCCTGGTTTTTTTTTCTAACGCAAGAACCTCCCTCGGAGCTGGGGAGGAGGAGGGGGGAGTTGTGGCCCGGCACCCCAGCTTTGACGCGCAGCCCTGTGACTCAAGCCTGCGTCAGGGCTGCGTGTCCCTTCCCATTGAGTATTTTTTTTTTTTTTAAATTTTTCCTTTTCCCCGCTACCTCCCCCACCCCCCACCCCGCCTCTAATTGCTTTCCCTTTATTTATTCATTTCTCGGGAGCGGAGTTACCTCCCTCCCTTCCCCGGGCGAAGGGGAGCGGGGCCGGGCGAGCACATCGCGCATCCACCGGGCGGTGGCGGGGCCAGGGGACACGCAAACACACACACACACACGGAGCGGAGTCACCGGTACCTCGGAGCTTCCCCGCCGCGCCCTGCGGAGCCGTGGCCGGTCGCTGCTCCCCTTTTCCCGGTCACTGCCGCTCCCGTTTTCCCGGTTTCCCGCAGCACCGGCAGCCTCGGACGGGTCTCGCCCCCCCCGCACCGGAGCGGGGGGAAACTGGGTGATTTCCACCGGGAATTTGCGCCGTTTCCTTCGGGATCGGGCCGGTTTTTCCCGGCATCGGGTCGCTTTCCTCCTCCCCGCAGCGCCAAGGTAAGGATGCTCCCCCCGCTCCCCCAGCTCGGGTTCCGCTCCCGGGGGTCTCCCCCCACCTCTCCGGGCGCTCCCGGCTCTGGGTGCCCCCTCCCCAGCAGGGTTTTTTTGGAGGGGAAGATGCTCAGGGAGGAGTCCGGAGGGGAGGGGGGGTTAATGGAGGGTTCACCTAAGCCTGGAGGCATCAGGCGTGGCCCTAAGGGTGGTGGCATCCAGGGCTGGTGGGGGGGACACTGAGAACCGGTAAATGGCTTAAACCACCCCGGGGGCCTGGGGGGTCACTTTGGGGGTGGCACTGGGTGCCTGCCTGGCTCTTGTTGGTTGGGGGCTCATCCCCTTCTGAGGATGGGTGGAAATGCAGCCTCCAGGTTGACCTTGAGGATAACATTGGGAGAGGAGAAAGCGTTTGGCTGCCATGAATATTCCGGTCCTGGCCCCCTGAAGTGTTTGTGTGTGTGTGGTGTTAATTGCCCCTCCTTTTATTTTTTATTTATTTTTATGCTGCTCCCTGAGTGTGGACGGTCGGGTTGGAGGCAGAAAAATGGGGCTTGGGCTCCTGGTTTTGTGAAATCCCCAGCACTGGGTGTGGGGATGCACCCAAAGGTGGTTTTTTTTGGGCTAGGCCAGGTCCAAATTTCCTCCATGCAGGGGAGATGGGGCTTAGACCCGTGGGGATATCTGCTCCCAGCTCTTTATAGAGGACCCAGAAGGTGAAATCCTTCTTCCCAGATCATGCCTTGTGTCTGAGGCACCTGAGGTTTGAGTCCATCAGGAGCTGATGCAACTATTTCTGGTCCGGGTAGGAAAAAAACCCGGAGCTATTCTCGGCAGGGCGGAGAGTTTCTGGCGGATATTTCTCCAGAGGTGTCAGGACTAGGTCAAGGAACCTGGCTGGGCTTTGCCTGCAGCTCAGCTGCTCCGAGGGAAGCAAAATGTGGGTCTGGGCTGTCTGCTGGGATAAACTGGAGGTGGCTCCTCCAAAATCAGTAGGAATTAAAGGGTTTGGTTTAAACCAGGTGGACGCTGCCACTTCAGCGTCCCACAGAGTAGGGAATGGGGAGTCACGAGGATCAAACCGACCCTAAACCAGCTGCTGACCTGCAAATCCAGGCAAAACCAGCCCCCCCTGGGAGGAGAGGCTCTGCTTTTGCCCCATCCCGGGCTGCTGTTTGGAATTGTTTGTTTACAAACGGAGCGGCAGCACCGGGAATTACGACGAGGGGGGGGCGAGCGGGACCCGCGTGCTGCCCCTTTGAGGCTTTTTGGGGTGAATCTCGTCTGCTTTGGGGGTTCAGCCACCAATCCCCGGGCTGGAGCGGGTGAGTTACGAGCCGTGACCGAAAAATGTGAGTGGAAAAAGATCATCTGGTGAATCAAACCGGGCCCTGGGGGGTAGGGGGAGGATGATCATATGATGTCGCTTCGCTCCGGTGTCACGTTATTGCAGCTGATGGGTGTTTTCATGGTACCCAACGAGGCAGGGAAGGAGCCTAGATCCGATGAATCAACGGGCTCCGGGCGCTTCGTGACAAACCCGAGTGCCAAGGCTTTGTCCTCCTCCGGGGTCCGTCTCACGACCCGGCGGCAAAACCATCTTTTCCGGAGGTTTCTTGGCAGCCGCCGGAGGAAAGAGCGGCTGCAAGGCGTGAAAACCCCGGGGTGGGACCGGCACCCACCCGGGATGGAAAAGGGCACCCACCAAGTGGGAAGGACGCCCAGTTCTGGAATGGGAAGGGCACTCAATATCCGGAGTGGGAAGGGAACTCACCTGGCACGGGGAAAGGCACCCTTTGGGTGGAGCAGGGGCTGGAGGAGCCACCTCTGCTTCCCTCCAGAGGAACCGGGGGGTTATTTATAACCTCGGGGCGCTTCTCTGGCAGGAGCCAGCGGGGTGGGTGTAAGACAGAAGCGGGGGCAGCTCTGACTCATCCCAGCTCCAGTGGCACGGAGAGAAAGCGGGACGGGGGGTTTGTTTGCACGGGAAGGACACGGAACCCTTCAAGCCCCTTTTGGGGGGGAAATGCCAGCTCTGGGTCACGGGGTGCTCCAGGACGGGAGTTTGGCTCCCAGTAAAGCTTCTCCTGTGCTCTCACACTCACCCCACCCCAAGTTTGTGCCTCCCCAGGCGTGGGGGGGGTGAGGAGCGAAGGCACCCGGTGGCACTGAGTCACCCCTGAGCCCTCTAATTAGCCAGGCGCTAATTGGAAGGGTTCGTTAACAAAAGGGGAGAATGGGAACAGCCCTAATGAGCCCAGATGGCAAAATCCTTCCCCGTGGAGCCAGAGGCCGAGCAGGGAGGAGCAAACCCCAGCAGGAAATAGGTTTGAGATGGAGATGTCTTTGGAGCAGCTCTGGCTGCTCCCACTCCCTGGTGGAAGGGAATTTTTGTGGGACAGGGGTTCCAGAAAGGTCCTGGGGTTCGGGGTCAGAGCTGCAGCGCTTCTGCCTTGGGTAAAAATCTCCTCTTGGGGCTTGGAAGTGGAGCTTGGATGCTGCTCGGGGGGTCCTGCCATTGGTTTCTTGTGGAAGATCGGGATCCTTCCCAAAGGACTGACTCTGCCAGGGCCATCCCTCTCCCACTGCAGAGCCTCTCCTGACCCTGGAAAGCAGCAGGTAGAGCCTGGAAAAGGTGTTTTTCCCCATGATTTGGGCTCGTAGGATGTGCACCCTGGGCTCCTTCCCCTCGCCCTTGGCCGGGCAGGACCGAGGGACAACGGGAGGGACGATTGTTCCTTCCCTCTCCTCTCTTTCCCGGCCTCCCTGCTTCCTGAGTGACCTTGGATCTGTCCCTTCTCCTCCCAGCTCCAGTCTCCCCATCTGCACAGAACAGCCTGGCCCCAGGGGCAGCATTTCCCCGGGCTCTGGGTGTGCGGGAGCTGCAAATTGACGCTCAGATCTCCCATCCCGAGGGAGGATTCCCACCTCCCGAAATCCCTCTGTGCCTCTGCCCCTCCCCCCCCCCCTTCCCTGCTCCGTGACCTTGATGGGGTGGGCAGGACCTTCCTGGGCCTGGTGAGATGGATCCTTCACCAGGAGCTTCAGCAGGAGAGTCTTCCCCCTCTCCTTTAGGAGCTGTGGGGGGTTTGAGTGGAAGCTCCACAGCAGCTGAAGAAGGGGGAGATACTGGGACAGGGAGGGACCACCAGGGAGCCCCCCTCCTCCAAGGGTTTAAATCTTCATTTTGAACTCACCCAACCCCACCCTGTGGGTTTTGCCTGCCTCAGTTTCCTCTTACAGACCCAAACAGGGGGAGTGAATGTCAAATTTGGGCACGGGGGGAGGAGAAATCTCCCTCCATCCCATCCTTTGGACCCAGATTGTGCTGGCTGTTGGTGGCTGCCGTGACTCCCCCGTGCTCTCTGCCTGTCTCTGCGCTCCCAGGCCCAGCTGAAAGCTTTGCTGACTCTGTTCCAGCCCGTTTATGGCTCCCCAGCCCCGGGGAGCTGAGGCAGGACCTGGCGGCTCCCAACATCCCTCCCCCCGAGCCCCTCGGGGTGCCCCTGCAGGGACGGGGTGCCCTCGGCTCCTGGGGGGCTTCACTCATCCCAAACAGCAGCTTTTCTCCCCTGTGGGTGTTTCTGGGGTCAGTGGGAGCCTCTGGGCAGGGATTAAACCCGCTGGAAAACCACGTGCCTTGGGATCTGCTGCAGGGGGGGCTCCTGTGCTCAATCCCAAGGGATGTGGTGCTTGTGGACCCACCTGGACAGGGGACAGGGATGGGGAGTGTCACCTGGATAAGGGGATATGGATGGGGAGAGTCACCTGGATAGGGTGACCTGGATGGGAGGACAGGGATGGGAGGGTGTCACCTGGACAGGGATGGGGAGTGATACCTGGATAGGGGGATATGGATGGGAGGGTGTCACCAGACAGGGGACAGGGATGGGAGGGTGTCACTGTGCACAAACCGGAGCCCCAGGCTGAGTTCCTGGATCGTGGCTTAAGGAATGGCTGCTTTGCCAGGGTTTGGACACGAAGGAACCCACTGGGAGCAGGAAAGTGGGACATGGAGCAGGAGGAGGGGAGTTATCCCCAGGGGGAGTCCCAACGTCTCCCCTTGTGACTCCTGTGGGATGTGCTGGCTGCAACCAGAGACACCAGAACCAACCCCAGCACAAACCGGTCCTTTCCCTGCTCCTGCTGCAGGAAAATCCACATTCCCTCTCCAGCTGGGTGGCAGCAGCGCTGGTTTTACCTGGGCAAAAGCTGTGGGTGCAAAGGCAACCGGTGAGGTGACTGCTCTGAAAGACCCTCGTCCTCCTTCCACAGAGAGAGAGTAAAAAAAAAAGCACATTTAAGAAAATTAAGGTCACGAGGGCTAAGTAAACAAGCTGAATCTCCATCTGTCAGTGACAAGGGTTTTCTATCTCTCTCCAGCCTGGAAAGCTCCTGGTTGTCAGCTGATCTGCCTCGTCTTTCTCACGGGGTGGTTGTTATTTTTGGCGGATGGATTTTTGACTGAATCCCCTTTTCAATCAAAGGGATGTGTGGAAATACCTCCCCAGGATGTGTTTGGACTGTGCTTTTTTTTTTAGTTTGAGGGTTGGAGACCTCGAGGCTGCTGGGAAATGCTGGGGGAAGGAATAGGAAGACACCTTGGATAAGTGTCCCTGTGCCTGGTGGGTTGGTGGCTCCATGCTGGGATCATCCCACAGTTCCAGCAGGGATGTGGATGGTAAAGGCTGGGTGAGCTCATGGCATCGCTGTTGGGAAGGATTTTTTTCTCCTTCAGGCCTTGGCAACACCTTCATTCCCAGGCTGGGGCTGAGCCACTGGGATGTTCCCAAGAAAGCCGTGGGGACAGCTGTGCCAGAGCCATTCCAGGATCAGAGTTTGGATCTTGGCCACACTTTCCCCCCTCTAGTTTAGTTTGGGTGCCTCTCCCGTGGGGAGGAAGACTCATCCCCTTGCTCCTTCACCCTCATCCCAGTGTCTGGAGAAGCCTTGGTTCCACGTTGAACACCCCTGTGGGAATGTCCCAAATCCTTTGGGAATGTTGCTGTCTGGAGCATCCTGGGGCTTTGGAGGTGCTGCAAGGACCTCTCTCCTCCAGGACCTGCTGCCTCTCAGCCCCTCAGGATAACTCGGGGGCACCTAAACCGAGGCTGAGATCCAGGGTGGGATGTTGGGGGATGTTGTGGGGTCTGTCCTGAGCCCCACAGCGCTGGCCTGGCTCAGCACCCAGGGCTGGGCATCTCCAAGGGGCTGAGCTGTCCTCGGAGAGCCTCTGGAATTCCCCGACCGTGGCAAACGCTGCTCCGGGGCTCAGCCAGCCCCTCCTTGGCTCTGTCCCTGATGCAAAGGATCATCATCCCCGAGGTCGAGTCCTCCCGATGCTCCGAGTCGGAGGAGCCGAAGCAGCTGCCGAGCAGAAAAGGAGCAGCAAAAAGCCCGTGGGGGGTTCACCCGGCTCTGCCCAAATCCAAGCGCAGCCCGATGGAAATCCCAGCGATTTCCTGACCCCTCCCCGGCCGAGACGCTCCAGCCCCCGGGGCAGCCGCGTGCCCGTAAATTGCCACGATGGAGCCGCGAGCGGTTTCTGTGAATGAGCACTCGTTAGGAAATTAAACATCGCCGGCCCAGGCTTGAAAGGATGATTTAAACGGCTCCTCCGGAGGAGCCGGATCCAGGAAAGATGTGGAGCCCAGACGGTTGCCTGGCAACGGATGCAGCCGACAGCCCAAAATAGATTTTTTTTTTTCTTTTTCTTTTTTTTTTTTTTTTTTGTAATAAGAACAAGGCCTGGCAAAGGGCGAACTTTCTTCAGGGGTGAAAAAAAAAACCACCGAGGTGAAGGCGAGGGAGGGTGAGGTTTTCCTGCTGCTGCTGCTGCTGCTTTGCTCCGTGTGGGGACATCAGAGCCCTGGTGGGGAACGGGCTGTGCTGCTGCCCGGGCTGAATCTGCTGCCGTGAAAAGGGTTGGGATTGGGGGCTGGATTGGCTCCAAAATGTTTGCCCGAAGGCAAGAAGGGCTGGGAAAGGCTCTGGAAAATCCTGGAGGTGGAAGGGACAGCGGGAGGCCCACCTTGCATTATCCATCCTCCAGACAGGGGTTGGTTTTCCCCAAGGCTGTGTTTGGGACACATCACCTGTGAGAGGCCACTCGGGCTTGGATGAACTTTGAGCTGACTGAGAAAGCCCCCTGGCTGGGAGGGGTGGGTCATTCCCTGGGTGTGGCACCCAGAGCTCTGCCAGGACCCAGCAACCAGCCCTGTGTCCCCCCAGGAAACAGGGATGGAGAGGATGGGGGAAGCAGGGAGCCTGGCTCTTCAGGAGAGAGAGAGAGAGCCATTTTTGCAACATTGAGGGGTTTGTCGTGGGGTTTCCTGTGTTTTCTCCCCTCCTGGAGAAGCACCACAAATCCCAGCTGGGTTTGGGAGCTGCCAGCCCAACCCCAGTTCTCCCAGTAAGGACAGGAGGGAAGTGGTGATTTCACAGGCTGGGGATCCCCAGAGCAGCAGAGCAGATTCCCACGGTGTCCCCAAGATATCCAAGTTGGGGGGAAGACCTGGAGGGCTCCTCTTGGCCCAGGCTGGAAGCTGGAGGGGCTGGGATTGCTGGCTTTGCCTTGGCTGCTGTTATCTGCTGCAAAGCTGCCTGGCAAGATTTAACATCAGGCTCTGAGGCTTTGATGTCACTCCTGATAATGTCCCGGGATGGGGAGATATCCTGGGTGTTTGTCACTGCCCCCTGAAAGCTCCCAAGTTGCCCTGGAACTTCTCCAGGGCTCTACCAACGGCCAGGAGGGGAGGAAGCAGGGCAGGGAGGGCTGGACCATGGCCAGAGCTGGATTTGGGGTCGGACTTTGTGGGGTTCAGCTGCTGCCTGGGGGTGTTAGAGGGGTGAGAGGTGTCACAGTGATTTGAGTGGCTCCATCACCTGTCCCTGTCCTTTGGAGCCCAGGGAAATTCCCTGCTGTGGGTCACAGGAGGTCCTTCTCCATGAATGAGAGAAGCTGTGGCTGCCCCTGGATCCCTGGAAGTGTCCAAGGCCAGGTTGGACGGGGCTTGGAGCAACCTGGGCTGGGGGAAGGTGTCCCTGCCCATGTCAGGGAGTGGAAATGGATCTTTAAGGTCCCTTCCAACCCAAACCATCCTGGGATTCTGCACTGGAGAAAGGGACCCTCCTGCCTCAGATGAAGGCCCCAAGGCAGGGGATGATGGAAACCCTTCTCCCCCAGCGCTGCTGGTCCCGTCAGAGGACAAACCAAACCCACCCCCACCCTTTTTTCGACCCCTTCCCCACGCAGGTCCCGCCGATGCCGAGGAGGTGAGGCCTGAGCTGAAGCTCACACCGGCGCTGCTCCCCGTGGGACCTTCACCTCCTTCCCTCACCTCATCCCACCCCTTCCCCCCCGGGGGCCCCCCAGAGCCGCCCTCATGCCCAAGAACAGCAAGGTGACGCAGCGGGAGCACAGCAGCGAGCATGTCACCGAGTCGGTGGCCGACCTGCTGGCCCACCAGGAGCCCGTGGACTACAAACGCAGCGTCCTCAACGTGACGGGAGGGGAGGGCTGGGACAAGCAGAAGGAAGGGGAGGAGGACCTGGATGCGGAGAGGCCGGCCTGGAACAGCAAGCTGCAGTACATCCTCGCCCAGATCGGCTACTCTGTGGGGCTGGGCAACGTCTGGCGCTTCCCCTACCTGTGCCAGAAGAATGGAGGAGGTGAGAGCGCTGGAACTCATCCCCAACCCAAACCCAGCCCCTTCCCAGCACTGCTGAGGGGAGCCAGGACCAGCCCAGTGCTCCCCTCTGCCCCTGAGCATTCCCTGTTCCCAGCGCTGCATCCCTTGTGCCCCCGGCCCCTCAGCTGGAAAACCTGCAGTGCCCTCAATAATTCAAACATCTCCAGTCATCATCAGCATGAGTCATCCTGCCAAATGTGCACACAGCAATTCCCTTCCCTTCCCTTCCCTTCCCTTCCCTTCCCTTCCTTCCCTTCCCTTCCTTCCCTTCCCTTCCCTTCCCTTCCCTTCCCTTCCCTTCCTTCCCTTCCTTCCCTTCCCTTCCTTCCCTTCCCTTCCCTTCCCTTCCTTCCCTTCCCTTCCCTTCCCTTCCCTTCCCTTCCCTTCCCTTCCCTTCCCTTCCCTTCCCTTCCCTTCCCTTCCCTTCCTTCCCTTCCTTCCCTTCCCTCCCTCCCCTCCCCTCCCCTCCCCTCCCCTCCCCTCCCCTCCCCTCCCCTCCTCCCCTCCCCTCCCCTCCCCTCTGTTTTACAGACGGGGAAACTGAGGCACAGAGCTGGGAATTGCTTGAGCAGCAATTCCCGAGCTTTGCTGAGGTTTTTCTTTAGCCCAAGTGGCCTCATCTGTCCGTCCCGTGGGACAGGTGCTGATTTCCCGGCTGGAATTCCCGCCGGGCTGTATCCTGGTGCCAGCCAGGTCGGGAAGGAGGGAGGGACAGAGCATTCCTGGCCGTGCTGAGCAGCCCCGGGGAGCGGCGGCGGCTGCTGCTGCTTCTCTGCCGCTCCCTGAGCAGGTGTCCGCGGGGGAGGACGGCTGTGCTGGGAGCAGGATGGGCCGCAGCCAAATTCCCAGGACTCGGTGTGCCAGGAGCTGGCACCGGCTGGCCCCGTCGCTGCTGAGCGTGGCGATGCACGGGCTTGAGCTGGTGCCCAGCGTCCCAGACATCACAGCGAGGAAATCTCCAGCACCGGACACATTTCCCACGTGAATGTGTCCGTCTGTCTCAGGCCGGGATGCCGGGGAGGGCATGGAAGAGATGGGATGCTCATGGTCCTTCCCGAATCACCCCAGCTCCAGTTCCTCTCCCTGCCTCTCCCTCTCCCCTCCCAACCACCCACTTGCATTCCTAACACACCATCCCAGGCTCTGGATTGGCAGAGCCCCTTCTCCAGAGCAGCACCGGCTGCTCCAGGTCCCGGCCGCGGGGTGGTGGCTGTCCCCGGGCTGCCAATCCAGCCGGGAATTTTCTCTGCCTTGGGACGGCTCCGCGTGCCGATCCCGGCTCCCGGCAGGAGGCTGGAGTCGCCCATCGGCTGCAGCGTTGAGTCATCGCATCCTTTAGGGCCACTCGGCCGTGCTTCGGGAGCCCCCGATTTCTCTCCAGCCTCAACAATCAGATAGAGATTGATTGACCGACTCCTTCAATCCGAGCTGTGCCTGCCCCTTTGCCAGAGGGTTCTGCTCTGCCCCGGCTGGCACGTGGGGCGGTGGATGCTGCTCTTTGGGGTGTGTTGGGGCTCGGACAGATGAGCAGGGGCGGGACCCGGGGGAACAGAGGGGTTCCTGCCTCCCTGTGTCCCCGAGATGGCCGGGCACGCGGCTGTGTCCCCGTGGGTTGGCTCCTGGAGGTGTGTCCTCGCACGTGGGGTGCTGTGTCTGTGGGTGCAGGGGGTCTTTGTGGGCGCACTGGGGTCAATCTCGTGTGTCCCCACACTGGCGGGGGGTGTTGCACCCTTTCCTTCCCCACACGCGTGTTTGCTCCTCTCCGCAGCTCCTCTGCTGGCCAGGCTCTGATCTGCATTCCCGGATCATGGAATCACGGAATCTTTTAGGTTGGAAAAGCCCTCCAAGACCACCAGTCCAAAGCCAGCACTAACTGGGTTCACTGGTTCGCTACTAACCCAGGTCCCCAAGTGTCACATCCACACATCTTTTAAACCCCTCCAGAGATGGTGACTCCACCTCTGCCCTGGCCAGCTGTGCCAGGGCCTGACCACCCTTTCCATGGAGAAATTTTCCCTGATATTCGATCTAAACCTTCCCCGGTGCAACTCGAGCTCGTTCGCAAAGGAACTGATGGAGGCAGAGCCCGTCCCTGCCTGCCCACCCCTGTCCCACGTCCTTGGGAACACAGAGAGGGGTCCACGACCACCTTTCCCTCCCCTCCCAGGTGCCTACTTGGTCCCATACCTGGTCCTGCTCGTCATCATCGGGCTCCCGCTGTTCTTCCTGGAGCTGGCGGTGGGGCAGCGGATCCGCCGGGGCAGCATCGGAGTCTGGAATTACATCTGCCCCCGCCTGGGGGGCATCGGCTACGCCAGCTGCCTGGTGAGCACGGCCGGGGGGAGCCCCCAGACCCCACCCCGGGCTGTGTGGGGTGGGTGGAACCAACCCCCGAGGGGTTTGTGCCCAGCGGGCGGGTGGGGGCAGTGACACCGCCCTGTGATTCGAGGCCGCGCCCTCCCTCCTTCCTCTCCCCGCCCAGGTGTGCTTTTTTGTCGGTCTCTATTACAACGTCATCATCGGCTGGAGCATCTTCTACTTCTTCAAGTCCTTCCAGTACCCCCTTCCCTGGAGCGAGTGCCCCCTCGTGAAGAACGGCTCGGTGGCCGGTAGGGAACAGCCCTGGGGCCGGGGGGGGGCTCAGCTGGGAGGGAGCAGCTCCCAGGGAAGGGGGGGCTGAGGGGCACTGGGGACCCCCAACACCTGCAGCTGTCACAGGTTGAGGCGTGTCCTGGGACACCGAGTCCTCTCTGCTCACCCTGAGCTCTCACGTGGGTTGGGTGAGGGTCTCCCACGCTGTCTGTCCCCACTTGGTGGGATTTGGTGACAGTTTGGGAATGCAGAGTGTGGGTTTTCAGGCTCCCTCAGTACATGAGGCCAGGATCTGAGCCGGGACCTGGCTGTTCTGACCGAGACACCTGAGCACCTCCTCGGGACACTCCGAGGGGGTTTATAGCAAATAAAAACCTCTCTCCCTGTATTTAACACCTCATCTTCCCCTGGTAAGGGCTTTATGTTCTGTCTCTCTTTTTTCCTGCTGAAAACAAACCCCCACCAATCCCTGCCTCTCCGTTTCCAGAGGTGCCTCCCTTCCCTGGCCTGCTCCACTGGGTTTTCCACACTAGACTAACCCCAAGAGGCAGTGGGTGGCTGTCCCCCAGCCCCCCTCACGCCTCCTGCCCCTGCTGTGTTGCAGTTGTGGAGACAGAATGCGAGAGGAGCTCGGCCACCACCTACTTCTGGTACCGGGAGACCCTGGACATCTCCAACTCCATCTCGGAGAGCGGGGGGCTCAACTGGAAGATGACCCTGTGTCTGTTGGTGGCCTGGAGCCTTGTTGGCTTGGCCATGATCAAAGGCATCCAGTCCTCGGGGAAGGTGGGTGTTGGTGGCCCCCCCTGAGCCCAGCTGGGCTCTGTCCCCAGGGCAGGAACCTCCTGCCTCGGTCTGGGATGTCAAATGTCCCCTCTGATGTTGGGTTTCAAGCTCTTCAGGTGCTCTGGGAGCGGGAGGTGGCCAGGGAAGGATGGAAACCCTTCCTCCTGCTCTGGGAGGGGTGCTGTGTCCCTTGGGGTGCTCCCACCCGCTCCACAGCTGGGGCCATCTCTGGTGGGGGTGGTGGTGGTTGCAGGATAAGATCAAAGGAGAGCTTGAGGAAGATGTTTAGTCCAACCTGCAGCCAGGGATCGGCCAGGGCAGCAAATCCAGCCGAGCTTCAGCACTGGGAACATCCCGCTCCGAGGGGCCCTGAGGAACGAAGCTCCCCCCGGGGTGGGAACCCCTCCCCTTGTCCCCTGTGTGCTGTGGGTGGGTTGGATGTGGATGGCTGGGTGGGAAATGAGGCTGTGGCCTTGTTGCATCCCTCTTGCTGCAGGTGATGTACTTCAGCTCCCTCTTCCCCTACCTGGTCCTGGTTTGCTTCCTGGTGCGGGGACTCCTCCTGCGTGGGGCAGTGGATGGGATCATGCACATGTTCACACCCAAGGTGAGAGCCCCCAGACCCTAAATAGATTCTCCTCCTGGCTGGTCACCCCCCATTTTCCTCTTTATTTTTCTTATTCCTCTTATTGTTTCCTCATATTTCCCTTATTTTCCTCCCCACCCTAAAAATGAGAGCGCCGACCCCAAACTACCTCGGGGAATCCTGATAGGTCATCAGCACCCAAAATTTAGGGTGTGGCCAGGACAGCCAGGAGCCTCACAAACTCAGTCCCCCCTCAGCATCACCCTGTCCCCCTCAGCTGCCTGGACACCAGGGTGGGGAGTGGGGAGGGGGGCCCGAGGCTGAATATAAACATAAAGACCTCATGGAACGACTCCATCTGGCAGCAAAACCTCTGCTGGTGGTATGTGCCTATTAATTAAGCAGCTAATTAATTAATTAAGCAGTGATGTAGATGAATCAGCTCGGCCGATGAGGCTGTTGGAAGATATTAATTATGGGCTCTTGATGAATGATGCTGGGAGGCCTCCAGGCTCTGGCTCCCGGGAGAGGGGGGATGTGGTTTTAGGGGGGGATTGGGAGTTAAAAACAACTCCCCCTCCTTCCCACCCAAGCAGGATGTTGGATTTCCAGTGCTCCATGTGCTCTGGAAGGAGGAGGAGGTGGCCAGGACACGCATGCCTGGGTGGATTGTGGCTCCCTGGGGCTGGAAAGGACCTTGAGGATCATCCCATTCCACCTCCCCCCACCAAAACTCCGAACCCAACCCAGTCTGGAGGCCCAGCAGCCTTTTTAATGGAGCTCTGGCTGCACTGGGGCGAGCTGTGGGGTCTCCAGACCACTGAACTCCTTCTCCTGTCCTCCTCCCAAGCTGGACAAGATGCTGGACCCCCAGGTGTGGCGAGAGGCGGCCACGCAGGTTTTCTTCGCCCTGGGCCTGGGCTTTGGGGGGGTCATCGCCTTCTCCAGCTACAACAAGCAGGACAACAACTGCCACTTCGACGCCACGCTCGTGTCCTTCATCAACTTCTTCACCTCCGTGCTGGCCACCCTGGTGGTGTTTGCTGTGCTGGGCTTCAAAGCCAACATCATGAACGAGAAATGCGTGGTGGAGTAAGAGCTGTTTTTGGGGTCTTTTTGGGGGATTGGGGGGGTCTTTGATGCCACTGCTGTTGCTGCTGGTTGTGGTGGGTCTGGAGGTGGCAGAGGAAGCGCTCTGGTGTTGGGTGATCCTGGGTTTTGGTGGACACGAGTTCCTGACGGCCAGGACTTGTGTTTCTAGGGATGTCCCGCTAAGAGAATTGGGCATTCAGCTCTTCCAGCCTAAAATCCACCCCCAAGACGGGCTCCTAGTCCACAAATCGCAGGTAAATCCGACCCATCTCCCACCACCTGAGAGGTTCTGCTGTCCCTCAGGAACGCCGAGAAGATCCTGGGCTACCTGAACACCAACGTGCTGAGCCACGACCTCATCCCACCCCACGTGAACTTCTCCCACCTCACTGCCAAGGACTACAGCGAGATGTACAGGGTGATCATGACGGTGAAGGAGGGGAACTTCAAGGAGCTGGGCTTGGACCCCTGCCTGCTGGAGGATGAGCTCAACAAGGTACCCGGTGGCACCCCCAAGGAGCTCCCCCCTGCGCCCACTGCCCCTCCCTGTGCCAATCCTGGGCACGTGGATGTGGGAAAACTCCTTTTAGAGACCCTCCTGGGCTTGGAAATCCACACCCTCGTGTTTTTTTCCCCTTGTGGCCCCTCCTGGGGTCAGGGGGAGGTCTGTCCCTCCTGCACCTTGCAGGGATCGCTCATCACCCAGCAGCAGACTGGGTGATGAGTGATTCTTTCCTTGAGGACCTGTCCAGGGAGGGAGCCCTGAGCCATTCAGGGGCTCGAGGTCCGTGCCCCTGACATGTTTCTGTCTGTCCTGTGTCCCCCCAACAGTCGGTGCAAGGGACTGGCCTGGCCTTCATCGCCTTCACCGAGGCCATGACCCATTTCCCGGCCTCGCCCTTCTGGTCCGTCATGTTCTTCCTGATGCTGATCAACCTGGGCCTGGGCAGCATGATCGGGACCATGTCGGGCATCACCACCCCCATCATCGACACCTTCAAGGTGCGCAAGGAGGTGTTCACAGGTGAGGCCCTTTCTCCTTCAGCCCCCTGGGGAAGGGGGGTGTGTGTGGGAGGGTCCCCCCTGGCCCTGAGGAGACATTCCAGGGGAGTGGGGACACCGTGGGGGTGTGAACTGGGCCTTGCTACTGCGAGAAATGGGCCTTGGGGAGGTCTTGGTGTCCCTCAGGGGTCCCTGCTGAGCACCCCCTGTTTGCTCCCCCTCAGTCAGTTGCTGCATCTTCGCCTTCCTGGTGGGGCTGATCTTCGTGCAGCGCTCTGGGAACTACTTTGTCACCATGTTTGATGATTACTCGGCCACGCTGCCTCTCACCGTGGTGGTGATCCTGGAGAACATCGCCGTGGCCTGGATTTACGGCACCAAAAAGTAAGGAATCTTTGTGCAGCCAAAGGAATAACTCCTGGCTAAAAAAAAAAAAACCACACCCCTCCTTCCAGCTCTTTTCTATATGGATTTTTTTTTTTGCTCCAAGAGAAAAGCTCAGTTCACCTTGACCCTCCTGCCCTGCCCTGGTGTAACCGAGCCCCACTCAGGAGCAGGTCCTTTTTGTGGTTGTCTCCTGGTGGTTGTGGTACCCTTTCCCCCTGAGAACGACCTTTTTTAATGAGGTTTCCAGGTCCTTCTGGAAGGACACCTCATTTTCCCCCCCTCCAGTGCTTCTTGTTGGCCAGAGCGAAGGAGGCTCTGGATAATCCTCAAAAGGCCTTTTCCTTAGGAGTTTCCCACAAGCCCTACAGGCTTGAGGGACACTGAGATGCTCCCCAGGACCAGCTGGGTTCTACTTCAGGTTCTGCCTTGAGCACAATTCACAAGAGGGGCTCCTGGGAGGGAGTTTGTCCCTCAGAGGTGGGGAGAAGAACAGGATTCCACCTCCCCCCCACCCCTTTCCCCCCAGGTTCATGCAGGAGCTGACGGAAATGCTGGGATTCCGGCCCTACCAGTTCTACTACTACACCTGGAAGTACGTGTCGCCCATCTGCATGGCCGTGCTGATGACCGCCAGCATCATCCAGCTGGGAGTCAGCCCGCCGGGATACAGCGCCTGGATCAGGGAGGAGGTGAGCACAGGACCCCCCCCGCCCACCCCAGGGGTCCTGGCTGAGTAGGAGGTCCTGGGGGTGACCCTCAGTGAGCCAGCAGGGTTTGTCCACCCGGCCCAGCTGTCTCCAGTTGGCTCTGAGCACGGACTGGAGTTTGAGTGTGGATTTGGGTTGGTGTCTGTGGGTGGTACCGTGCCCTTCCCCTCGATTGGAACCCCCTTTGTGCCATCTCCAGGATGGAGCCTCGCAGGAATTGTCTCCCACTCCCAGGTCGTGGTGCCTGGTGGGCATCACCTCTGCCGTGACAGCCCCTTGACATTTAATATCTGCTCCTTCCAGGCTGCCGAGAAGTTCCTGTTCTACCCAACCTGGGCCATGGCCATCCTCATCTCCCTGATCATCCTGGCGTCCCTCCCCCTGCCCCTGGTCTTCATCCTCCGGCAGTTCCACCTCGTGTCCGACGGCTCCAACGCCCTCTCCGTCACCTACAAGAAGGGCCGGATGATGAAGGACATCTCCAACCTGGAGGACAACGACGAGACCCGGTTCATCCTGAGCAAAGTGCCCAGCGAGACGCCGTCCCCCATGCCCACCCACCGCTCCTACCTGGGGCCCGGCAGCAATTCCCCCATGGAAATGAGCAGCGCTCCCAACGGACGATACGGGAGCGGTTACCTCCTGGCCAGCACCCCCGAGTCCGAACTGTGACGGCCCCCGCCCTGCCCGCCCCTCCCTTCTCCCCGCTCCGCGCCGGGAGAGGAGGGCACCGGCGAGTGGATCCTGGCTTGGCCGGGCAACGGGAAAAAAAATAAATTGCTAAGGAAGACGAAGAAGAAAACACCCCCCGAACCCCCCCAACTTCTTAAAATCATAGCCCAAAGCAGCCGTTCCTGAGGTGACTCCGGGGAGGAGGGATTGAGGGAGGGGCAGGACTCCTCCGACAACCCTCGGCTGTGGAAGGCAGGGCCGCCCCCGGGGGCGGGAGGAGGAGGAGGAGGAGGAGGAGGAGGAGGAGGAACAAGAGGCGCTGCGACCTTTCCGAGAGCCGCTCTCTCAAATCTGAAGCAAAGAATCTCTTTTTCTAAGCAGCTGATGGTTGGAACAAGGACCTGGAGGCGGGTTGGGAAGCCGAGCCCGCTCCCCTCCTGCCGCCCAGCGCTCTTCCCTCCTGTCCTTTGTCCTTTATCCGGGAGGAGTCATGGCCTTATTCCAACGAGCACAATTTACCCCTCGGTGTTCATAGCACAAAGAGGTGCTCTTGTCGTCACCATCGTCGTTGTTGTTGTATCTCCCCTGTAGGTTTTTATAGCTGTGGACACACCCAAATAACCCCCCCAAAATCGTGACCAGGGTTGGCAGAGGGAGCAGCACCCGGGGTGGGCGGGGGAGTGGTTGGGGCTGTGGATGGTGGATCCTTGGAATCTTTCTTGCCACCAGCACGGGAACGGTGGCTGGGGGTGGTTTGGAGGCACGGAGGTGGCGTGGCTGTGCGATGGAGTGGCAGTTTGTGTGCTGAAGGGACGGTGGTTGGGATGTGTGAGCGTTGTGTGGGGTCAGGCTGGGGGACAGGGACGCTCTCCTGGAGCTGCTCTTCACACGTGGGGTGTTCTGCTGAACCGAAATCCCTGGCATGGTGATCGTCTCCTCTTGCTCCCCTCTTCAGGCTGCCCAGAGGGACGCCCAGAGAGGCTGTGGGACATCCTCAGTCCTGCTTTAGCTCTCAGGAATCCACCCCCCTCCTGATTTACCCCCTGTGCCCCTCCAGCCAAGGGCAGCTGGGCAGTGATTCTCTCTGGACTGGCCTCCTCATTTCTCCTCATGTTCCCTTTGATACCCCCCCCCTTTGGGGGTCCTGTTGCCCCCCCACAGGAGCTCAGCAGCTTTTGGATGGGGTGACCAGTTTTTGGGAACCACAGGCATCCGTTGGAGCAGCAGCTGTTGGGAGTCCCAGGAGTGGGAGATCCCAGATCTCCTCGGCTCTTGATGAGGGTGGGGAGCCCCTGGTAGAGCCCAGGGGCCTCTGCTGTGCCCATCCATGTTTTTTTTGGGGGGTCAGATTGATGTGAATTCAGCTTGTTTCCACCCAGGTTTCTTGGGAAAGGGTGGGATCTCCCAGCCCTGAGTCTCTCCCACCGGGACTGGGGGTCATTTCCCAAATTCCCTGAATGCCACACATGATCAAGCACTTCTGCCGAGGGTCCCACCATAACCTGGCACATTCCCCCTTTCCCAGTGGGGGCTAGGGAAGCAGCAGCCTGCTTGGGCTCTGCCTCTCTCTCAGCACTTTGCTGTGGCCTCCAAAATCTGGGGGAGCAGCTCATCCTTGGTCCTGCTGGGCTTGGGTCGTGTCTGAGGGTCAGGTTTGGGGGTGCTGGTCCATGAATCCTTCTCTCCCTTCCCTCCTCTGCTTTCCTGTCAATGGCTCTTCTTCCACCCTTGGTTTTGTTTGGGAGGTGAAGGCAGAAGGTTCCTGCTCCGTTCCCCACATCCCTGACCTCTCTCAGCATTCCCAGGGCCAGGAGGTTCCCCACTGTGGCATCTCCTGTGGGTTCTGATCCTTTATTTGTAGCCCCTCTTCGTGGGCTTGGCTGGTGACCCAGGCACTCTTCCTGGCCAATTAACTCAAACCCTTCATCAACCATTTTTCCTGGGATAAAAACAGAGGCAGGGACTGAACTGAGGCAGCTCAGTGGTGGCTCTGAGAGGCACCAGATCTGTGTGGTTGGGATCAGCAAAGCTCCTCCAGCAGTGTTCCCCCCTTTCCCCATCCCTCCAAGGTCTTTCTCCTTGCCCTGCCCATGCAGAGGGACAATGAAACGTCCCCACTGCACCACCCCTGGAAGGGAGAAGCCCAAACCTGGGGGGTTTCTCTTGGTGTTACTCAACATGTTCTTTCCCATCTCTGTTTGGATCCCATCTCCACCCGACCAGCAAAACAAATCCTTGCCCAGCATCCCCTTTCCCGTGGAGTCAGCAGAGCAGGACACGTCCCACGGCCAAAGTGCTTCATCCCATCCACCCCCAGGGTGTGGGGTTCCTTTAACCCCGGGGGAAAAAAGGATCCAGCCCCCGTGTCTCCCACCCCCCACCCCAATTCCCAAACCAGCCAGGGAGGCTTTGCTTCCCTCCCCTCTCCTTGCAGCATCGACGGGAGGCGAAGTCAAACAAAAAAAAAAAAAGAGCTATATTATATATATATACACAACTATATATATATAAAATATATACAGAGAGAGGAGATGGAATGATAACCTAGAGATTCTCTATTTCTATTGTATATTTATTCTGTAAATGTCACTGTAAATGCTGTTAAATGACAAACCGTACTCCAAAGTGGCCCGTGATCTATCTTCATTCCCAGTGCTGTACAGATCAATTCTCATTCTAGAGAGGGACGTATTTTTAACCTTTTTATTTCTTGTCCGTGGATATGGGGGAGGGGGTGGGCGTCCCTTTCCCCCCGCCCCCAGCCCAGGGAGGGTCCAACTACCCCGGGCGGATCCCGCAGAGAGGAAGAGGAGGAGGAGGAGGAGAAAGAGGAGGAGGAAGAGGGACGACACCTTTACTTTTATCTGTGGAAATACTGTGTTTTGTCGTGGCATTCGGTGTTAGACGCGGGGTGTTGGGGGTGGGGGGAGTGTGTGTGTGTTTGTTTGGGTGGGGGGGTGTGTGTTTAAGTGGTCCGTGTCGTCGCGTGTGTGTCCGTGCGTGGGGTGTGGTGCGCGTGTCCGTGGGTGTGCCTGGGTTTAGGATTCACTTCTGGCTGTTCTCTCTCACTCTCCGAGCCTGCCTTAGGGCCGGGGCTGCGGTGGGGAGGGGGTTTCTCCTGCTCGCCGGGGCAGGTTCTCCCTCCACGCTCCTCCTCGGGGTCCCAGGCTGTGGGTGGGGCCGACCCCCAGTGGCTTTTTAGCCCCCGAAATCACGTTGGTTTTTTTTCCTCTCTCTCTGCACAGGGAATAGGGAATAGCTGCTAGTTGTGAGCACAGGCACTTTTTCAGTTCTCCTCCGGGCAGTGGGATGAGGACGCTGCCGATGTCACTGTCCCCCCTCCTCCCTGCTCGGTTCCCAGCCCTGATCCTGCTGCCTGGGGACAAGGAGCTGCTGGGGGGACTGGGAGGGGGTCCAAGCCCTGGGCACGGAGCTGGGAGGGGCTCAGCGGGTCTGGAGAAGACAGAAAGTAGGGCTAGCAGTTGGGATATTCCATCCCCCAGCACCGGGCTCTGCTCCAGGGGCTGGACCTTGATCCCGGTGCAGGTCAGAGGGGATGGCTGGAGTCAGAGGGATGGCCCACGGCTCCTTCCCTTCATTTTCCCCCAGAACAGCCCCTGCCTCACCTCCCAGCCCTCACCCAGATCCTGACAGGCCACACGAAACTCCAGCACCTCCAGGAGCGACTCCCACTGCCTTCTCCCGCCCCTGGTCCCCTCCCCGAGCCTGGGTCTCGCTGGCAGGGGTGGAAGCAGAGCTGGGTGGCCTTGGTGGCTGGGACAGTGGCCTTTGGTGGCTGGGAGGGGACAATGCACAGCCACGGGAGCACCCAGGAAGGAGCTGCTTCCCTGGGGAGAGCACAAAGGCTGGTGGAACCCTCCTGTACAGGTAAAAGCACAGATCCCATCGTGGCACATCCCCTGTAGCCCCGTAGTTCCCACTCGGGCCCCTCGGCCGCCGAGAGAAACCCTGTAAGAGCTGTATCCAGAGTCTGATTAAAAGTCTCTTCTTACCAAACCTCTTCTCACCAAGTCTCTTCTCTGCCTCTGTTTCCTTTCTCAGGGTGGGCTTTGGGGGGTCTCTCTGAGTTGTTGGGGATGGCAGAGAGATAAAGGGAAGGGCATCGTTGGCATCCACAGGCATTGGGGTCTGTCCTTCCCTGTCCTGTCCCATCCTGGAGGGGATCCTGGGGGTCTGGAGACTCTCCCTGGATGTTTCCAGCCCTCCCAGATGCCTTCAGCTGCTGGGAATGAGCTCGGCAGCAGGTCTGGTGGGGAGAGGGGTGGCCCTTTCCCTTCCCTCCCCTCTCTGGTGGCTCGTTTGGCTCCTCCAGGGCTGACCCAGCCCCAGGGAACGTGAGGAAGGGGTGGGGGGAGAATTCAGGATGGGTCCCTGGGCTCTGGGAGTGCCATCAGGGCACTGCCACGGCCATCAACTGGAGCAGCACTGCCCAGGGAAGGGACAGGGGGTGGCACAGGGGGTATCTGTGCCCAGAGGGTGTCCAGACCTCAGCTCTGGGGGAAAACACCCCCCAGGAGTGATGATCAGGACAATGGGACACTATGATCCTGCACAGCCCCGTTCTGGGGCAGCAGGGATGGAGATCCCAACCTGCTCCTCATCCTCATCCTCAGAGAGGGAGCCACGGAGGGAGGACCCACGTGTGGGGGTCACTGCTGTGCTGAGCTGGCCAGACTCGGCCCTGCCTGTGCCCCCAGAGGGTCTGGAATCCCAGAGCTCCCCGAAAAAAGCTGAAGGGAAACAAACCTGGGAGGTGGGGGTAGAAAAACAACACAGAAATGGGTCCAAATGTCGAATTTAAGGCAAATACCTACTTTGAAAAAAAAAATTAAAAAACCCCAATTAACTGAATTTCCTGTGCCAGGGAGGGAGGGAGATTTCAGAGCCTGGGGAGAGGTGAGGGTTGATGCTGTGGGATTCAGAGGGTGGGTTTTGGGTGTCCCATCTCAAACCAGCTCTGCACCAGGGCACGGACACACGGTGGAGCTGCCTCGGCAACATCCTGCCGTGATTCCCCGAGCACCTCGGGAAGGGAAAGGACAGTTATCCCGACGCTCAAAGACGGGCAAACCGAGACACAGCACAGCTCCCGCACCGCTCCAAAGGCAAGACGATCTCCACTGGCGTCTCCGCTCCAGCCCAGCCTCCTCCCACTCCCAAATTGCTTTTATGGAGCAAAATTGCATCAGCGATGCGGTGGATGGAGCCAGATTTTCCCCCTGGAGCCAGTCGCGCTCCCGTTGTTTTCCCTGCCTCGGCTCCAGCCGGAGCGCAGGACACAAGGTGGCACTGTCAGACAGGGCACAGGGACCTCGCCGGGGATTTGGGAAGCATTCCCTGCCTGGGAAGCAGGGGATGAGCGAGCTCCTCCGTTCCAGGCAGAGGCCGCAGAGGGGATGGGGCTGCGAACTCCGCCTGTGCGACCCGCACAACTGAAAAAAATGGGTAATTTTAGCCGGGAAAATTCACCTGGCAGAGGCAGGTGGTGGAGATGGATGGGATGGTGGCAGCTTTTTTTGGGAAGACCGTCCTCCAAGAGTGTCCTGAGAGGCTTTTTGGGGCTCACACCCTGGGCAGAGGGTGCTGTGGGCGCCCCCAGCCACAGCTGCCACCACCGGAGACGGATCTATCCCACCCAAAACACGGTGGGAGGAGGGCAGAGACATTGTTTGAGAGCACCCAGGGGTTCCTGAGGCCAACACATCTTTCAGCAGCAGAATCCTGGGCTGGAAGGACCCGGAGAGGTTGGTTTGGCTGTTCCTACACCAAAGCAGGATTGTCCCTCCCCAGGCTGGTGCACCTGCCCCACCTTCCTCCTCCATCCCTTGGTGGATGCAGACCTGGCAGGATCCCAGCGTGTCCCCAAGCCCTCCGTGAGGTCACTCAGCTCTCTGAGCATCCCACGGCCCTCTGTGCTGGTCCCTCCCACCTCTGGGGACCTGCCTGAGGGACCACGGGCGAGGCTCGGGGTGTGGGGCTGGCTCAGGGGGTGAGACCAGCGGGGTGGACCCAAAGACCCCCTCACCACGTCCTCAGGACCTCCCCCCCCCAAGGCGTGTGGCTTTCCATGCTGGAGCTGATCCTCCCTGAGGTCTTCCAGGTCCTGCTCTTCATTCCATCCTTGTCCTGGGTGTTATCTGAGATGCCTTGAGCCTTTGCAGGAGGTCCCTGCAGAATTAACTCCCTCTTGCTCCAAAAAGGCCCTTATTCATCCAGCTCTTGCCATTTCTTTCTCTCTCCCTCTCTTTTCTTTTTTTTTTTTCCCCTTTTTTTTTTTTTTTTTCTCCCATGGACATTAAAAATCCAAAGGCATATTTGGAGAGCAGACAGCTTTGGGCGGGTGTTGCTGGGCTAAAAGATCTCTTCCTTCCCCAGATACAACCCATTTGTCTGCCTGGCCACCTCCTCCCTGTCCCCGGGAACGGCCGCGCTTGGGTGCACGGAGCTCATCCCCCGGCGGGATGAAAGTCTCGGGCTAAAAAAAAAAAAAAAAAAAAAAAAAGAAAGAAAAAAAAAAATTAGCCGCAGGTCGCAGCATTCCTCCTTCCTCCCCGGCCAAACTCGCCTCGCCGCCACCGAGGAGCTGAGCTGCGATGCCTGGCCGGTGATGCAAGGCTCGATTTTTCCAGCACGCTTTTCCCTGGGGCTCCGGGGCGCTCCCGCCGGTGCCGCTCCGGGCTCTTCGGGTGTGGAGCTCCGCCAGCCTCCTCCACCCGCTCGGGATCCGGCCCTGCGAGCTCTGGAGTTGCAGGCACACTTGGAGCAGGGCTTTCTTGGTGGTAAGATCTGAGCGTGGCTCTCGTGCCCCGTGGGGGTTTTTGGTTTTGTTTTGTGTGGTTTTTTTTTTTTTTTTTTTTTGGGTGGAGCGTTTGCCCCAAACACCCCCAACACCCCGTGGATACGGGATGGAGGGTGGGGGGCAACGTATGAAGGGACAAAACCGGGCAGGGGGTGACCAGGGGACCTGGGGGGACGCCCCACACAGCGCTGGGAGGCTCAGAGAGAGATGCTGGGTGAGCATCCCCCACTCAAAAACCACGAGCCCAACCCTCGCCCCGCTCCAAGGACCCCCTCATCCAAGTGCTGGCCCCTCCGGCTCAGCCCCCCACCCCAATAACAGGCCTGTGGCTGGGCTTGGATCCCCTCCACGACCACCAAACCCCCACTCGCGCACACCCCCACACACCTCCTCCCACCAGCACCAGCAGTGCCAGTGCAGGAGTGAACAGCGCCGGCAGGATGAGTCCCTCGGGTCTTCCCCGGGGTGACAGCCTTGGCCCCTGGGGCACCGCAGCTCCTCCGCAGCCCCAGGAGCCCGGAGGGAGCGCCACCAGCACCCCGGGGGTGTCGGACCCCTCCCCAAGGAGGGGGGCTTAGAGGGAGAGCCTCGGGGGTGGTCGGTGCCCCGGGTCCCAGCCTCGGCGGCCGTGGAGGGGAAAGGAAATCGCTCACGCAGGAGCCGAAACAGGGCGGAGAGATGCTCGGGGAGGGCAGTGGGAGGGAAGGGGGGGGGGCAGGTCTGCCTGCGGCCCCCCCAGCTACCCACCGGCCCCGGGGTCGGTGTCTCCTGACCCCTCAGTGAGCGAGGGATTGAGAGCCAGGGAGGGATGGGATCTGCGGGAGCCTCTGCCAAGAGCTGGCTCCAGATCCGCAGGCAGCTCTGGGCTGCATTTCCCCTCCGGCGCGAAGCGGAGCTGGGGTGTCCGAGGTTCACTCCTCGCTGACACCGACCCCCCGAGACCCTCGGCGGCACGGCGGGCCCCGCGGGGAGGTGAGCGGGGCCCGGGGTGCGGGGGGACCTGCGGGGAGGCGGGGGCTGGGCTGGGGGTGGGTGGAGGGGATGGAGGGATGGATGGAGGGATGGGAGGATGGAGGGGAGGGAGGGATGCGGGGATGGGAGGAGGGCAGCGGCGGGGGCGCAGCGGGGGAGAATGGGGGCTGAGGGGCTGGGCGCTGGGGCGGGGGTCTCCGGCCCCCGGCGAGGCGGCGCCGGCTCCCGTAACCCCGCCGCTCGCTCCCAGCCCTATAAAGCCCCGCCGAGCCCCGCAGCCGCTCCCGCCGCCTCCCCGCGCCGAGCCCCGGAGGCAGCGCCGGGAGCAACAGGCCCCCTGGCCCGGCCACGCGTGAGCAGGGCCCCTCCGGGAGCGGGGCGCATCCATCCCCACCTCTCCCTGCCGGAGACCGGGGACTTGCCCCCGGCCGCCGCCCCTCCCCGAGCCCGGCTCGGGGGGGCGGAGGAGCCGCCAGAGCGGGAGGGGCGAGCGGCGGGGCCCCCCCCGCGCCTGGCGCTGCAGGTACCGAGCGGGGTGGGGGGGGACACGGACACGGCGCCCGGCGGGGCTCAGCATCCCCCCAGCCCTTCCCCAGCATCCTCCCGGCTGGGCCCGCAGCCCCCAGCCCTCCCGGGCCCTCTCCATCCCGCACTTGTTGCTGCCCGGCGGGGCTGGACTGGCTCCCGGTTTAGGGCGGTTTTATTCGGGGGGGTGGTTTGGGAGGGGGTGGAGGTTGCAGCCTCCCCTGCTGTCCCCCGGCAGCCAGCGGTGTCCGGCTCGGCTCCAGCTCGTTCCCCCCGAGGCCAGAGCCAAGCCTGAGCCTCCCCTTTTCCCCTCCCCAGTCCCATCCGTGCCCCCTTCTCCCGCCTGTGCCGACCCCCAGCTCCTGGCCCGGAGGAAGGGTGCGCGTTCCGTGCATCTCCCATCCACCGAAATCTATGATCAGCTCGGTGTGTGTCTCCTCCTACCGTGGACGCAAGTCTGGGAACAAACCACCCTCCAAAACATGCCTGAAGGAAGAGATGGGCAAAGGGGAAGAGTCGGACAAGATCACCATCAACGTGGGGGGCACCCGGCATGAGACCTACAAGAGCACCCTGCGGACTTTGCCGGGCACCCGCCTGGCCTGGCTGGCTGACCCCGACGCCCAGAGCAACTTTGACTTCGACGGGAAGAGCAACGAGTTCTTTTTCGACCGGCACCCCGGCATCTTCTCCTACGTGC